GCAACAACCTACATGTGAAAGTTGGTCCAAATTCTCTAAATCCAATTCCAATACGAGTAAATGTTCTTGAAACTTCTCACAATGTTTATTAGAATCGGTTTTGTAACTTTTAGGATAGAAATTGTCGCATTTTTTGGCACCATTCAATCCAAATTCATTTGGTTTGACCTTGAACACACGACATCTCCACATAGAGAATACATTCAGCTCTTGTGATTAGCTTCTTAGGTAAAGTATCAGTGCTCAACTGCTCATATCGCATTGTGGCATCTTTCTTGCATGCAATTCGGTTCATACAAAACCTTTATTTCAAATCATAAGTAAAGGTAGACATATCTGGCCATGATGAGCAGTTGAAGCTTCCTAGCTTGGTGTGTGTCGTCTTTAATATTTCTGGTGCGTTAGGCACCTAGGGTAAGGGTAGGACGGGTGCTGTCCCTTACTGTAGTGAAGGTCTCAAATCTTCTTGTTATCGTGTGGCAGCTTCCCTGGATTCTGAAGATGCTACGCGGCAGACATTCAGGATATGAACTGTACAGCAGTAAAAAGAAACTAAACATGGTTAGAGAAAGTTCTAAGCACGTAAGAATTCCCAGATTATCTCTGAATCGAAGTGAAGTCACACATATATATATCAAGATCGCTCGCTCAAACATGTTAATAGCAGTTAGTTTCCCCCAAGAATATTTCCTTTTATTATGGTGTTTGGAGGAAAAAATACAAGCGTTGTGCCCCCAGTCAATACCTTGTGTCCTCCATCTAGCCTCCACGTGTGAACAAGTGCTCATAATGCGCCAATGCCTGTGCCCTCCATCTAGCCTCCACATATGAACAAGTGTCATAATGCGCTTAGCTGTGCCCTCCATCTAGCCTCCACGTATGAACAAGTGCTCATAATGCGTTTTAGCTGTGGGTGAAGGTGAACAAGCCTCCACACTATTCATCTTGCCAGAATACAGAAGGCACCATGTAGTCACCACCATCACCTTTTTTTAATAAAATCCAACAAACATGCTATATACTCAATTCTACACAGGCCAAACATGCAGATTTCTCCCTGACCGCTGATCTTTTTCTCAAATCGACAATCATCTTGGTTTCTAAGGGGTACATGTCCCAGAATTGTTCAAAAGTCATGAGTGTATCTTTATTTGTTCAATGTCTACAGAAATTCTGCGACGATGACGTCCATTTGCAGCACATTTGACGAAAGAAACAGAAGGGTAATTCCAACTCACTCTAAATTAACTGTGCTGTAATCTTATTCGGCCTGATGATCAGTGCATGATCGAACAAATTAATGCCAAAGACAAACACACTGCGACTAGTATTAGCACTTATATACTGCCGCCATAGCTCTTTATTTGTTGAATCTACGTATAATATAACCCAACAACTGACGCGAGATCAGCAGTAACAGTGGCACTTGTGGTGGCCACTGCGGAGCTTGCACTCGCCGCCACGGCAAGAGGTCTGGCACCAAGAGTTGCAGTCACCATTCTGATCCGAAGAGCACCCGTTTAGCTGGTTCTGCGAGCCCCATGAATGATAGTCGTTGCAGCACATAGGATTGGACGAGGCTGCGGCAACACACATATATCACATGGACAAGAAACAAAGCATGCATTCGTTAGCTATTAGTTCTAAACAAAACAGACAAACGATGACATTATAGGGCTGCAGCTGCTGAGAGAATAAGATGTGTCATCGTCATAGTCAAATTACCTGCCGAGGCAACAAGAAAGGCGAGCACGATGAGCACAACTGCTGCACCTGTACGCTCCATGATCCTCTTCCTTTGTATAAGAATTTCTTTACGAGCTAGCAGAAAATATTTCGATCTCGATCGATGAGTTCGTCTTTGGGTGCCTATGGCTACTTATACCCCGGAGACTGCATGCCTTTGATTCTACATTGTCCAAATTATGGAAATTATTATTGTTATTTACTACATTATGGAAGTTAAATCGTTCCAAATTGTTCCAAGAATGAATGCCTTCCAAACCAACATAGAGGACGTATGTAGAGGAGGCCGGTTTCCAAAGTTCGCTTGGAGGCTGGATGCATGCATATAGGTAAGGCAACATGCATGCGATTCAGAACCATACATTCATATAGGTAAGTACGTTGCTAAAATTAATACAATACGATTTTTTATGTATTTGTGAGACTATTATTTTGTTGAAAACTAAGAGCTTCTCCAATAATTCATAAAATCCACTCTCAATCTTGTTTTTTTTTTGGCAGGAATGAAAATTGAGAAGTTGTCTCCAACAATTCCTTATCCCAACTTCTAATGTTTCCGGACTTGGCAAAATCGATTGATATAAGCGGAAAGATACATGTGGTGGCGACTTCTCTGATTCTCATTGTTTCTTTCTTCTCATGCCGTAGGCTCTTCCTTGCATGCCGTAGGCTCTTCCTTGCCGTATGTCTCCCATTGTTTACAGAGACCTGCTCAGGGAAAAAGAATCGAATTATTGGTAACAATCGTTTTTGTCAGCATGTAATCAGGTCACCTGATTAACACTGATCAAGATCACACATCAAGATCAGTCAATGCTTGGATTGTTAGGACTGTTATGTGCAGCTGCTACGCTTCAGGTGTCTTATTGTCTACTCCGTCTGCCCCAAAATATATGTCGTTTTTATTTTCCGAGAAACAACTTTGACAAAATATATATTAAAAATATTAATATTAGTGATACATAATTGATATCATTAGAAAGATCTTTGAATCTAATTTTTTAATAAATTTACTTTGAGTTACAAATGTTGCACATATTTTCTATAAATCGAGTCAAACTTGTGGCACGGAAACAAAAAAAACGACAAATAATTGGGGACAGAGGGAGTACTAAGATTATTGGACGGCTCAATCTCTTATATAGTAGTATATATGCTTGTGATTGTGTGCGCGGAATAGATAATAGCGACACAAAGCTGTGATAACCAGTTGACCCATAGGTCAGCACACAATGCAAGCAGGTCATTAGATTAGCACTGATCAACATCACACGTCAAGATCGTTCAATCAATGTGGTCGTCAGGTTATTAGCTCCGACATCGCATCAACCATGATCTAATTTAGCCGGATCTCCAAGGCATACAAACTTTATTTCAACTTTCATCTCCAAGGCATGTTACCAACGAAACGAAAGTGTGCATGAACGTACGAGCTAAGATAAGACAAGAGAGCAGGAACAAAACCTGTTGTGCCTTTTATTCGTTGCTACTTTTCACCTTTGTTCGGCGTGCGCCATGCATCTTGCGGGAACGTTTCCTCACCTTTCTCACCATGCATGAATGTACATGGACCATTCTGCTTGATGTTTGATCCATGCATTGTTTGCTCTATCATTGCTACTTTTCGACATCAGCCTGGACCAGCTGGGCGACGCGTTTGGTGCCAACTTTCTGCCTACGCCTAGGTAGCCGCCTTTATATCAGCACTCGCCGACCCTGTTGCATGGCCTTGCGCCATTGCCACGGTACGTACAAGACTTGCATTGTGCGCTCAAGAGACGCGCGAAGGACGGTCCTTGCTGCATGGCCTTGCGCCATTGCCACGGTGGTGCTGCTAGCTCTCGCGACGGGTCACCACCGAAGCGAAGCATGACGTGGACGGCGTGGTCTCAGCGCCGCGCTGACGAACCAGGCCACGTGCGGCGACAGCCTCGCGGCCGACCCGGTCTCCGCGGGGCGCGAGGCCGTGCGCGCGCGCGTCTCCGCGCTCTCCCAGTTCATCGCCACCGCGCTGGCTCTGCACGTCAACAAGATCAAGTCTCACGGGAGCGGCGGCGGCGGCTCACCGTCCGCCGGCTCACCAGCAGCGGCGTTCCCGTCCTGGGTGACGCAACAGGACCGGAACCTCCTGGAGTCATCGTCGTCCCCCGCGGGAGCGAGTGGCGGCGTCGACGTGGCGGACGCAGTGGTGGCGCTGGACGGCAGCGGGACGCACCGGAGCATCAACGAGCGCATCGCGGCCGTGACTGCAGCGAGCGGCGGTGGCAGCCAGGGGCGAAGCCAGGATAAAATATCGCCGGGGTCTATACAAACATGTGATATTTTTTAGATAAAAGAATAAATCTAACGTTATCCCTTTTGGACAAGAGAAGAAACCACTTATCACAACATAAAAATACCAAAAAAAACTCAAACTAAGTTTTAACATAATTTGAATCAGAGACCACTTATCACAACATAAAAATACCAAAAAAAAACTCAAACTAAGTTTTAACATAATTTGACCATATAAAGGAAGAAGAAAAATGCACCGTAGCCGTCTCGAGCAATGAGAAGTCTGGATGATGTGCTGCTTATTGGCTTCACTATATTGTAATTGAGTTCATTGACGTAACCAGCGATATTAACTTTTAGCTTGTGATAATATAATACTATAAATAATTTTAATAACAAATAATATAATAGTATAATATTATGAATAATATTATATATAAGCTTATACATTATTGATATAAATATTAATCTCACTACCAAGATTGTTTAGTTGTGTTGACTATTTAGATTTAAAATATTTTTGGGGCTTAAACAGTGATATAAGCGATTTAGAATTTACCTAATTAAAATATTCTCTAAATCATGTAAGCTGCAAGTTGAATCCTTTTAGGCTCCAGCTGTGCTGGTACAGCACGTTTATGAAGGCAAGAAGGCTAAAAAAGGGCCGAGACTACTGGGCTTGCCTCTTGCCTTTGGTTTATTATGCGGCTTGCACAGTCGCATCGCAAGCCTAGCTAGTCACCACGCTAGTCTGCTGGGTTGCCGCTGCGGTCTACCGGGGTCAAACAGTTTTTTTGCTGGGGTCTGTGCTGGCCAAAATTTGTAGAGTACGTGAGGCTGTCGCTGAGTCGTCGGGGTCGGCCGACCCGGACCACATCACGTAGCTTCGCAACTGTGGCAGCGGCGGGAGGAAGGTGATACACGTGAAGGCCGGGCGGTACGAGAAGAGCGTGACCATCTCGAGCAAGCAAAAGAACGTGATGCTGCTGGGCGCCGGCAAGGGGAAGAGCGTTAGCGTCGGCCACAAGAGCGCCGGCGAAGGCTACACCATCTACGCCTCCGCCACCGTCGGTACGTGATGCTATACGCGTCTGCATTATTCATCTTCTCTTGCACAAAAGCTACACACGCCTAGTTGCAAAGTTGGAACCTTTCACGTGTGGAATGAAGTGATTTGTTGGCCTAGAAAAGAGAGTGAAGTTAATCTTCACTCTTCAGTCTGCACTCTGCAATGTAAAAAGCTTAAGCTCCTAGAATGCATGGTAGGGTTTACAACTAGTCTTTTTGTACTACAGCTAGATGCAAATGGGCAAAGCAAAGCGAAAGATGCGTTGGTTCGATTTGATCGTTTGTTGCCCACGCATTTCCATGCTCTGTGTTCTGTTGACATCTCATCTACACCTGTGTAGCACACACCAAGACTGCACGAATCATCAATGATGCATGGTTCACGTGGTTGCAACATGCATGCATGGGGCACCGTCAAATGCAGCGTCGACAGCGACGTCTCACTTGCCATGTCGCCCACTCTCTTCACCCTTTTTCTCCTTTGTTATTTGTGCTTGACAGTGCACTCCCATTGTTGTCTTCTACACATTCTACTAGTAGTAACACTAACACTAACACTAACACCTTTCATGACCATCTCTCTGCGTACGTACGTGTGGTACAGCTGCGATGGGCTCGGGCTTCATCGCCAAGGGCCTGACGATCCTCAACACCGCCGGGCCAGGGAAGGGCCAGGCGGTGGCGCTGCGCGTCGGCGGCGACCTCTCCGTGGTGTACCAGTGCGGCATCCAGGCGTACCAGGACACGCTCTACGTCCACTCGGGCCGCCAGTTCTACGCCGCCTCCGACATCGCCGGCACGGTGGACGTCGTCTTCGGCAACGCCGCCGTGGTGCTGCAGAGCTGCGACATCCAGGCGCGGAGGCCGAGCCCGGGGCAGGAGGACCCGAACCAGAACACCGGCATCTCCATCCACCGGTGCAGGGTCTCCGGCGCGCCGGACCTCGGCGGCACGCCGGTCTACCTGGGCCCGCCGTGGCGGAGGTACTCACGGACCGTCGTCATGGAGAGCTTCCTCGACCGGTCGGTCGCGCCGGCCGGGTGGCTCGAGTGGTCGGGGCAGTTCGCTCTCAGCACGCTGTACTACGGGGAGTACGGGAACACCGGGCCTGATGCCGGGACCAGCCGGCGAGTGACGTGGGCTGGAGTGCACACGTCACTGTCCAGGTCAGATGCCGTGAGGTTTACCGTGGCGGAGTTCATCCTGGGAGACGCGTGGTTGGGTGGCACTGGAGTTAGCTATATTTCAGGACTGTGAGCTGAATGTCGTCTGCTCGTCAGTATATATGTGTACGTATTCGCCTATTCGGTGTCCGGGGACCGATTAACTTACGTCGGATCAACCAATTTTAATGAATAAATAAAAGATGAAAAAAAATTGAAACGAACGCGCACGCTACTCCTTGTACTCTGAGACTGAGTCCGCCTGAAAAGTACGTCAGTCGTGACTTCTTGAGTACATGAATAATTAATAGACCGGCCTGTTTGGTTGCTCACCCACCCTCAGCCCGTTCGTTTGGCCGTGGCTTATCGTAAACGATCGTAAATTTTCAGTCGGAATAGTATTTTTCTCTCACACAAACTAGCCAGCAGTACTTCTTCACGAACCAGCAACGATACGAACCAGCCAACCGAACAAGCTGCCTGAGGTAAATTTTGGCGCTACCAGAGTAATTTGGCCAGTGTTTGGCTTAATTTGTAACCGAAGATTGGCTAAGCACAAGAATATTGGCCGTGCTCGTGTAAGCTACGATTAAGGGCACTCCCAGCGCAGATGGGTTCTACGATAGTTAATTAGTTTGCCATCTAAGACAAATGATGATCTGGTATTGTAATTAACGAAGAGAGAGAAGGAAATGATTCATTACATAAGAAACCATGACACAGGAACCAAATATAAAGAGATGTGATAGGTAGATGATCAAAAGAGAATATATGATTGGACAAAGAAATATTTTGAAGAAACTATACATTGGGAATATTGTTTGTGTATGTAGTGTTTACATAAATATAGAAATCACCTCACAGTTTATGGTATGGCACTGCTACAGAAAAGATTTTCAGAGGCGCACATCGCGGCCGCCTTTTGCAAATGGTTACTGTAGTACATAAAAACGCACAATCACTGTCGGTTATAAGCCTAGGATCAATTGGGGGAAGCTATTCGCCCGGCAGTGAAGGCACCTATATATATTACTGCCGGCTCAAATTAAACCACCACCCTGGCAGCGACATATGACTGCTGGGTCAGGCCAAAAACTGACATTGATAAGTGTCATATCACTACTAGCTAAGGCTATGACCTGTGAAACTCTAAGTTTGGTTTTGGTAATTAAATGATAACAAGTGGACTAATGCTTTCAGTTGAGTTGTGATTGATCTAGGGTCCACACAAAGGTGGAAAATGGCACCTAGCATGGGCCATAGCTGATTTTGGTGGTTGGTTGAGAACATGATTAAATGGATTAATATCATTTGCTAGTATACAATGTATAGTTTATTAAGATACAAGGACGCATTGGACTTAGAACGTCAAGATCATGTAATCAACACCTCAAGGAAGACAAAGGACCATTGGAGATCATAGAAGATATGCTAAAAGTCTAGTACATCAAGTAGAAGAAGCCCGGACGAGAAGACGTGAAGAAACAGAGTGAAACAAGGCTGCACAGCAGCATAGGAAATCCCTAGTGGTTGCCTGTACAAGACACCGGAGAAAGTGGCAACAGAGAAGTTCTGCATAGGGTCTCAAAGACCCACATGAATTTTCTGGTAGTTGTGACCACATGAGAAAGTGGCAACAGAGAAGCGCAGTGTAGCAAATAAAGTTTGACAAAAAGTTCAGAGTATCACTGGAATTCTCTGGTGACTAGAAGAAGGGAGCACTAGAGAAAGTAGTGGCCACCCAAGGCTGAACAAAAAAAATTTGGAGCCATAGGAATTATCCAGTGATCACAGGAGAAGTAACACCGGACAAAGGAGCTCCAACGATCAGCAGATCTGATGGCTATATTCACTACTAGAAATATCCACTTCTATGACGAATAGATTTCATCACTGAAGGAGTCAAATTCGTCGTAATTTCAGTTTTATGACGAAAAACGGTTCGTCATAGAAGTCGTGTCACACTTGCACATCTATGACGATTTTGACAAAATCATCGTAGAAGTGTCTTGATGTGTGACGAAAAACAGACCGTCATAGAACTGTTTTGGCATACGTGGCAGGGGCTGGCACGCTGGTGGGCGCTTCCGTTGGAGATGCTTTCCACATGTACATGCTATAGCCCACGTGTACATACTATAGCCGGTTGCATTGGAGATGGTTCGGGTACGTGTCACCTTCTTATTGCACAACGTGGCCATCTCTGGTTCTTGCACGTATCAGATTCTTACTGGACCACGTGTCGGGTCTCTGTTGTTCCACATGTCAGTTTTCTATTGGCACACGTGTCATGTTGCAGTTGGATCACGTGACACTTCTTCATTGGACCATGTGTCATATTTTTATGGGTCCACGTGGCCGTTTCTTATTCGGCCATGTGTCACGGCGCTGTCCATCCATGTTTCGTATTTTTATTCGGCCACATGGCTTCACGACTTCCTTCCACGTGTCGGATTTTAATAGCCCACGTGTCGAGTCCTGGCTATTGCACGTGTCATGTACTGGTTTGTCCACGTGTCGTATTTTTATTTGAACACGTGGCCTGTCCTGGTTCTACCGCATGGAGTACAATCAATTCATCATAGAGGTAATTCGAGATCGTCACTACTGTACAGATTGACTACATAACTATTTAGCCTGGCAATCAAATAACAACAATTAATATTTCACACGTCAACAGCGAACCACTGACAGAGTATCACCACATCAAACCGACATATGAGTTCACACATCAAACCAGCACATGAGTCGACACATCAAACTACAAATGTTCACTGCATCAAGCCGAAGGAGTTGAAGACTGAGAGTTTCCAGAAGAGCTGAAGCGCGTGCATAGCTCACGGAGATTGTTGTACTCCCCCTATTGCCGTTTCTTGTATTCCTCAAGCTCCCTTTCAATCTTTTCTGTCTTCCTCTTCAGTTCATCCACTTGATCGATGAGGGTAGCGGAACTTTCCTGTTCAGTAGCAAGTTGTTCCCGAAGCATTCTGTCCACCGATGTCTTTGTTCTGGTGGAGCTTGTCTGGATACCAGCATTCTTCAAAAAAGATTGTTGCCGCTTCCCTAGGAGGGGGCCTTGCCCTGGTAGACGCAGAGGACCTTGCAAACAACATCAGCATTAGTCATTGGTTGCTGCCCATCAGCAACAGGTTTTGCTTGCCTAGTTTCCGTAGCTTCTTGCGAAATTCAACAAGTAAAACATTAGGTTATAGATTATGTAAGAGGACTTCAATTGAAAACCCAAGAGATTGATTCATAACAAGTAATGCATAGGTCTTCCTCAGTCTACTGCTGATAGAGATTACATAAGCTTCAGTAGATTTTAGTAGATTTCCATAACACTAGGCTCCTGCTACGTTTCCTTCTTTTATGGCAATGGCTTCAGTAGATTTTAAGGGAAGCAAAAGAAGGTACTTACCACTGCTCCTCTTACAACATTGCTCAGGCCCTTTTTGCTACTGGTATGGAAGTCCCTGAAGACTTCCACAGCATTAACATCTTCATTAGGTGGACCATTTTCTTCTTCAAGTCCTTAATCGTGTTCTGCTGCCTTCCTCATGTTCTCGTTTTGTTCACATTGCACATGAGTTTCGGTTTATATTTATACAAGGGCAAGAGTAACAATAAAACACAACCATCACTTACAAATTTTTGCATCTAGACAACATAGGAGCGAGATCCTGTAGCCTAGTGGTACTTCACTTTTGCACGGTTTCGCTTGTTCTTCTCAGATGTTTCCTATAGCTTCATTTGTGTTAGACTGCAGCACAAGTAGACCATAGCAAGAGTAGACAGAAAATCAATGGGTTCACACACCTTGTTCTTAGCACTAGACCAAATCTTGACAAGTTCACACAATTGTGCATCGTTCATGGATGAGACAGGAGAGGTCATATGGATCTGATCAGCAGGGACACCAATGAAGTATTTTTTCTTCAACCTGTAGCGTGCCTACCGTACTATAGACTGCATTACATTCCGGCAAGCTTCTTTTGTTGGTGAGTGAGCACCGTTAACACGCAACCTTCGCTGCATATAGTAGTGTGAATGAAAAGCAAATCCATTAAAGTTTCTCAAAGCAGAGTTTAATGTCAAGAGGGGATACCCATACATACATTTAGCCTATCCACAAATCTTGTGCAATAGACGGCGCCGGGCCTCTGCCCCTTGATATTGTTTCTAATGCGTCAAAATTACTTCATGCCTGACTACTACACCTGCCTCTGAGGCAAACTTGGCAGCTTGCACTGGATCATGTGGCCTTCTGTTCCCCTCTGCAATGGAGATGCGCATCCTTATTCCTCCTAGTGATTTGCTCATTTTGTCAAGCATAATTCCAAGAGTTTGAGGCCTCGGCTTCCTCGCCCTTCCAAGCAATGGTACTACACAGTTTTCATACATTCAGATTGTTAGAAAAGTTACATGGATATTAAATAGCTAGTGCAAATTGATTGATAGACATCTGTAAGGTAATACCAACCTTGGAAAATTTCATCGTTCTACGGGTGGGGGGAGACGAGAGTTTGCTAAGAGGGCTCCTCTTTGGCAGGGCTATAATCATCTGCCCATGAGGAGTCTCTCTCTGGGCGAGGTAGGGTGTCATCCCGACCAATGTCTCCAGTCAATTCACGAACTTGGAATTGATCCCTAGGTCTGGGTGTCGATCGTGATGGAGAATTATGTTCACCTACTGCTGCTACCTCCATCCTTTTGCCAGCGGCAGACCTCCGAGTACAAACTCTATGAGCAGCCTGTTCTGGTGGTGTTGACCTCACTCGCTTGGAGGGCCTTTGCCCAGGACTCATGGCAGCGCTGCCTTTTGTCCTGCTGGTAGAGCCTCCTCTATGGCTTCTTTGACTTGGACACTGAAATTGGAGATACAAACTTAAGCAGCAAGCATATACAAATTCTATTGCTATCCAAACAGTAAAGCATTGCATGGCTACCTACCCCCCTCCCCCTCTGAACTAAATACAAGATAGAACAAGCACCTCAATTGATAGGGGCACCGGCTCATCTGCTAAATCTGAATCTATTTCATCTGTATCAGCAAATCCCTCAACTACCTCGCTTGGTTCGGGGATATATTCTAAA